CAGCAGCAGGGGACAGCCCTGTCAGGGGGGGCACATGCCCCCTCCCTTCCCTGTGCCCTCCCTATCAGTCCCCTATGAATGTGCATAAGGATTTCTAGAAACAGGCTTAGGGTTTTCTATGGATCAGGACTTGATGTATTGAGCCTATATATCCTTTCTTTGGGCTTGGTTCTGCAGCATTTGCTCAGATAAAACTTATACTAGCTTCAACTGATTGCAGCAATTAGGTTCTTGTATTAATTAATATAACTATTTTCAACCCCAGAAGTATTCAAAAGTGCAGCCTTCTATGCTGTCATGGTCTGTGCACTTTTGACTTCTAGGTTCAGTAACTGATTCTGTTCAGGGTTTCCCTTGAAAGACACACGTGTCACAGCTACTACCAAATAGAGCAGCATAACTTTTTAATGTTTGCAGGGATTAAAGATATTGATGCTTTATGAGCTGTCTGGTTGTCTGTAGTTCACTGAATGCAATTCAGCATCATGTATGTTGGTACTTAAGGCAAAGCGATACATACATACTATGACTCTTGCATGAGAAGAAACCTGAACATTAAACTTGTGTCTAAGCCTTTGGGGAATCATGACCTAAAACTGTTGTTGAAAACAAGCATCCAATTACAAATAATTCCTATCATGGCACTTAAAATCAGTGAGGTGTGAAGTGCTGGCTGTCCCATGATATATTTTCAAAAGGGCAGGAGGCAGAGCCTGTACACTTTTGGAATGTTGTCCTCCTCAACTTGCGCCAGAGCTCATCTGTGAGCTGACCTCTTTCAGGCCATATGGAAAGATGTTTTCTTTAGTTAATGGTGTGTGTTATCTACACGGGTTTATCACAAGTGTGTGAGGCTACTTTTTGCTCAGGCACTATTTTATTATTTTTATTAGGACACATTATATACTGTCTAACTGTAGATTGGGCTAAGTACCTTTAGTTTCAGGTGGTTGGAGGGTATGTACACAAGTACAAAGTTTGTGTCCTTCTTGTTAATGAATGTAGGGGTTTTTCCCTTAAAAATTATTCTGCTGGCAAAGACTGAATGACTTACGGGCCCTGGTACTGTTCACCTGGTCACTGGTTCTAACCCCAGAAAATGTAGAAATACTGCATTTTCTTAGTGGCAGTTTATGATTTCTAGCATACAAACATGGACTTGCAATGCTCAGCGGGTGTGGAGGTTGGGCCCAGGCCCTCGCCAGCACATAAATCCAGAGAGGAGGGTTCAAGCATTGAAGAGCAGGTAGCATTCACAATGTGTATATTTCATATGGGAATTCCATGCTGGTTTCAGTTGAAGTGGTTCATAAGAGATGTTTTAGGGCATGCAAGTGACAAATGTTATAGGATCTGCAATTATACTGAATAATAACTCTGTATAAAGTGTATAAAATGGATGTTTTTCTAACTGGGTGCATCAGCACAGTAATGTGCAGTAGAATTAGCCTACGGATGCTAAATGCACGGTAGGCTAATTCGACTTCGCGTTAGTGCAGCAGGCAAAAACCTTGCTAACGTGCAGTAGAATTTGTCTACTGCACATTAGCATCACAAAAAAATCATGAGCTGGTGTTGATTATGGCACATTAAGTTATTACCTGCTATTACAAGTACTAAACTTAATGTGACGTAATTAACTAACGAATGTGTAAACATACCCACTGTGTCCTAAAATAGTGGCTTGCCCTTTGCTTTAGTGATTGTATGAATCAATGTCTCATAGATGTCGCCTAACAAAGCCTGAACACTAGACCTTTGTCTCGGCAGGCTAAATCTCCCCTTAAAGAAACCATCCCTTAAAAATGACCCCTTTTGCCTTATTTACTATTTGCTAACCCACAGCATTCTCAGTCAGGGAAGCTCACAGTAAACTCCAATCTTATCTCCAACATTATCTTTTGAATAGTTTGAGGCTGAACATGGGGAAAGTAATTATTCCCCAGTTAATAGGTGAACACTTCTTTTTGATGTTTCTTGATAGCAATTGCTAAATGTGTGTATCTTTGTAATTAATGTGTTGCATCCAGATGTCATCTCCAAGGAGACTAGCACTAGCTAGTTTAGACAGCATGAAACTGAAGAAACTTGCTAGCTAAAAATAATCAAGATCTTTCTCCAGCTGAAATATGTGGCTCAACTCCCACTTTAAGACCAGGTTGGCCATAACATGTCCAAACTGAATCAGAGGTGGAACCCCACATTAACCAGAAGGCAGTCAGAATAAATTACAAGTTTTCTCCACCTCTAGTTGCAGTAGTTCTGTATGGCACATCATGTAGAACATATGTTTTTAAAGCAAGTTGGAGGCTGCAAAAATATGGCTAAGGTGAGTTTTTGTTTGTTTTATTTTTTTAAAAGTAACTTCCTGGATTTCTATAGTTATTGGGAATGAAAACATGACTAATAAAAAAAACCTACCAACATTAACCTGAGGCTGTTCTAAAACTCCTTTCACCTTTTATTTAATTCCTTGAAATGATCTCTTAATTGCAAGTACGGCTGTTCCCTGTGTGACCCATTTACAGAGTAGTAGCAAAGCAGTATGAAAGGGCAGGTTGTGGGGGAAAAACCTGAAATATTTTCAATCAGTTTAAAGGTACACTCAGGCCTGGCAGTCCAAACTAAAAATATATTTCATTATGACCTACTGCTAGTCCCTTTGAGCAATCTATAAACTCAAACAGCCCTTTTTCTACTGTTAAAAGGATACATTAATTTCTGTTACAAGATAGCTCATCTAAAACAAACACTTGCACCCTGTCCCTTCATGCCTGAATGTTCAGGAGGAGCTGCAGTGGGGCCAGGAAGTGCATACAAGGCGATTATTAGCCCTGGGCTGATCCTCTATCAGCTACATGATTTGTAGGGGAAGAAACTGCAGTGGTGGGACAGAATGGGCTGGGATATGATTCAGTGGGGCCAGGAGGGCAGTTGGAGGAGTGTGATTAAGCAGTACATGCCACTTTTAAGAGCTGGGAGTCAATGAGCAAGTGGGGTGGGTGGTTATAATAAAAGTATAAATCTTGAAGGGAGGGAGCTGGGAAAATCAGGTAGGCGCCAAGTGTCTAGGAAAATATTTTTCAGAAAAGTCTCTTGTGCGTAGCAGGTAATCAGGCACTACTGGAATGAATAGTTTATGTCCCCTTAAATA